TAAATTCCAAATTTAATATGATAAGAATTATGAGTCAAAAGCATGGACATCAAGATGCTAAAATAGATATAATATTATCAACCACCATTCCTTTCTAACAAATTGAAACAAAGGATTAGGGAGATTATAAGTCTAAAACTTAGATTTTTTTTTGAAGGGCTTATTCTGTTATTTAATTTATTTTTATTTTTTATTTTTTGGGTACATTTTTTTTTTGTTTTTTATTGTTAATTATTTAATTGGATTTGGTTTTTTAATAGTATGTATATTTGAATTCTTGATATAAAAACAAATTTTAATTCTCTATTGTTATTTTAGATTATGTTTAAATTTAGATTGTAATAAATAATATTTTATTAAAATTTTATTAGTTTTATTTAAGTTTAGATTGAAAGTAAATAATGTTTTATTAAATTTTAATTTGAAAAAAATTTAAAATAAAATAGCATTCAACAAATACATAAGTATATATTTACAAATTACCTGTTTCTTATTGGCTTAAATACCAAATATAAATCTCCTTAAGGATTTGAGTAAGTATTAAGTTTAAAAAAAGATATACTTAAAAATTTTCAAATTAAGTACTAAATATATTTTATATTCTACCTGTATTAAAAAATGCTCATCCCTAGCACCGAGTAAGTACTCTTTATTTTCTTTATTCTTTTAAGAATTTTGATGTGGCACTAAATTCTCCTTGTTCTCAATACAACTATATCAAAAATATAATTGATTGCATGAAAGATAAAACCTCCCAACGATAAAAGAAAAACTAAGGAGTGACCCAGCTTCATATATACTAACTTTAAATATCAATCACAAAAACCCTATAACAGGCTAATTATTGGAAAAGTGACTAAAAAGAGTGTCACTAATATTTCTTGTTCAAATTCAATTTCAAGTGCGAGTGAATAGTAACTAGGAAAATTAAAAATAAAAACTATGATAACATTATAATTACAAGACTATATAAATTTGTAAATTTATAATTTTATGTGATATTAAATGAAATATAATATAATATTAAATAAAATATAAAATAATATTAAATAAGTAAATAATTCTTAAATAACATATATCATATTATAAATTTATAATATTAGATAATATTATAATTATAAAATTTTTAAAAAAACTATTTCATCTCGTTTAAGTATGAATTGACGGGACGTCTAGTACTCACAAGATTACGTAGAAAAAGAAAATCATCAATGGCGTCTTGCTGCAAGGAGCAAGTTCCTCCAAGGTCAAACATCATAACACTTTCAATCCCCATTTTAAAGCTGCAGTAAATTAGAGAAAGACTTTTCCAAGATGATGGAGGATTTCTTTTAAATGCAGTGGGTCGATATGGACAGTAGTGGTCTGGTTAAAATCAAGAAATCAATATTTGCAATCAAAGCTTGCAGACATCGAGGAAGAGACCAGACTGACCGTATCCTCAGATGCTGTTTTGGCATTTTCGGTCTGAGTTCTCGGTGGAAAAGACAAGATGGATGTTTGCTCTTAGCTGGGCAACAAAAACACAAACCCATGGAAACTTGGGAGCTAAAGGGTGTCTGGTCGGGAGACACCAGTAAATCAAAATTGTTGTTCCTTAAAAGGCATGGGGACCCTTGGTTTGGGAGCACCTTTCGCCACAGTCCCACGGATCATGTGCTACTAATATGATTATAAACAAGTTGAGCTCTACCCGAGGTTGAACTTAACTCGCACTAGAGCTTGAGACTTAGTGAGCTTAGAAGAGTCAAACTTTGGCTCACTTGGCAATTGAGTTTAGAACAAGTTTTTCCTGAACAAGACAATGCAGGCATCCAGGCCCATATCCAACATGCACATGATGGGGTCATTTTGCAACCAAATAGAAGAACTAATTGCAATTTCCTATGAAATTTACAATTAATAAAAGAAAATGGGAACGATCCAGGAAAACGAAAATCATCCAAAAAATGAGACAAAAAAATGACCCGTATTTGCAATTGCAATTTTGTTCTTTCTTTTTTTGGTCAATTCAATTTTGTTCATTCAACAGGACGACTTCCCAACCAGCTGATCCCTGCTTATGTTTATATCACCACAGACCTTTGTACCGCAAGTGAAAGAATGCCATATCTAAGTGATGTTATCTTATGATTGCAGAGAGAACACTTGGTAGCCTTTGTGAAGCACATAGTGCAAGAGTTAATTCAAGCATTTCTTCATTTTCAAGTCCATCTCCAGGATTCAACCTTTTCCCCCTTAGCTGGCAAAAAATTGCTCCAGTTCCTCAGTATTCTCCTGCAGAATCGATTCCTTGTCAATTACGTGGCAAAACTCCAAGAAGACATTCCTTAATAATGGTCAACATTGAATCAGATATATAGTATTCTCCTTTCAGTAGTCACTTCCAAACCAAGCAGAAAAAGGTCACTACCTACAATCAGATAACAGGGGCCAAAATTTTATGAAGGATTGGAAGAGATTTCAAGGAGAGCCGTCAGATCCAGCTTCAGCAAGAGCCGCAAGCATGTTTACAACCTCAGATGTGTCATCCAAATAGTATTTGGCTTTGCTTGGCTTCTGTCCGACTGTGCAGGCAAAAACAGATTTACTAGAGGAGAGCACACCACTAGAAATTGCACTTTCAATAATCTCAAACATGTCCTCATCGGATCTATCATCTCCAATACAGATTACAAAATCTGCCTGCTTTCCACGTTCAGCCATGGAAGTGAAGATCATTTCTGCCACCAAACCTTTACTGACTCCCTGAAAGCCAAGGTAAACAAATTGATTCAGCATCATGCCCCCATGCAATCGAGAAACAGAATTAACAGTTTAACAAGCAACATGATAGTAAGTGTTGGCCAAGGTAGTAAAACACATTAATTCAAAACCCTCACTGCAGAAAAAGATTCTTGGTTACTTCACATGAGCAATAATATGCCCCTGCTTTCAATGTTGGGATGTTCAAGAGTTAATTGGATTTCTTTTTATTTTTTTATTTTTTATTTTTTTTTCACTGCTATGCTATAATAATCCATCAACAACTTGAACCCAAAAGCTCCAGCAGGAACACATTATACATTTCCTTAATGCCATGCTGAGAGTCACTTCTTGGAAACCTGCTGCCTATCTAAGCTATTCATAATTTTTCAGTTCTAGGAAATGCATACCCATTCTGAATTATATTCTTACTTCCACATTCCAAGCTCCCCTAGTTGACAGGGAAAATCTTACAGAGATTCATTTATAATTATATCCTCCACCAAAGTATGCAATGCTCAAACACAAATTGGTAGTTTGGGACCCACAGGCAGTGATTCTGCTAGCCTCTTATAATCTCTACTTTTACCCCCTTTTTTTTCCTTTTTTCCTCATTTGGTTTAGCTAAGATTCAGATCTAAGACCTAGCTAAAGCCAAATCCATTACTAATCTTTATTATTTATCTGATATGTATTTGGGGCCCACTTTTCTTTTCCTTTTCTTCCCAGTTTAAAATAAAGTTGGGCCAGAGACATAACTGTAATTAAACCCCATTCCATCATTTACCATGTGAATAAAAGCATAAGTCAAGAGTTGAAGGCTCTCCAATTTCCATCACCTACGATGGTTGCAACATTTTCAATAAGTTGCAGCCATTAAGGGTATTAAGTGCAATAACTTTATCATAGAAGAGGAAGAGAGATGTGGCCTGACATTTATTTTATATAGAATGAATGAAATCAGTAACAAAGTAGAGATTGATACCTGTGGCTTCACTTCAACAATGAACTGGCCACTTTTTACAGCAACAGGTTCATTTGCTAGCACACTTTCAAGATGCTCTAACATCTCCTTGGCCTGGGTACATCCAAAACCTGGGTCTGCATCACGATGGTGCCAGACCAAGGCACTCTCTTTGGTTTCAATACAAGAGCCATCAGTGGACTCCGTATACAATTTCATAACAGGCTTAGCCATCTCCATCCAGCCAGAATCACCACTCTGCCCACAAGTTTCCCAGTCCTTATTGGCAGACCACCTGATGCATCAGACAAATTAGAAACTAGTTATCAAGCAGGAAAATAACAAGAAATGGGTAATACAGAAGAATGATTAGGAAAACAAGATACCTCATAAAGTAACCATGTTCAGCTGCAATTCCAAGTTTCTCACAAGGAGAAAACCACTTGCCCAAACTATCCCTTCCTCTACCACTTACAACAAAGACAGTATTATTGACATCAGCACAAAGTGTATTTATGATTGATATAACCTCTGAACTTGGGGTCTTGTTGATGGATGTTTGAGGCATAACAGTTCCATCATAGTCTAATAGTATAGCCCTGTTTTTGGACCTATGATACATAGACACAATGTGTTCAGTAGACAACTTTCTGAAATTAGGATCCAGTGCAACAACTCTGAAACCAAAACCCAACCCAATTCCCCAACAACGTCTTCTAAAATGGTCTTTGCACGTCCTTTCCATATCTTGGAAGAAGCTCCGAGCCCAGTATGCAACATCATGTGTACTGACATACCTATAATGCTTCTCATGGCGCAACTGCTTTTCACCATCATCCATTGAGATAGCCTCATTCATTGCCTCAGCAGTTGCTTCAATGTTCCAAGGGTTCACCCGAATTGCACCACTGAGTGAAGGAGAGCATCCAATAAACTCCGATACCACCAACATGCTCTTCTTGGGTGTGACAGATTCTGAAGAAGATTCTGACTCAGCGACCCCTTGCCTGCACACTATGTATTCATAAGGAGTAAGATTCATACCATCCCTCACAGCAGTAACCACTACGCACTCGGCTATGGTGTAATAAGCAATTCTTTCACTGAGGGACACTGGCTTATCAATAAAGACAACAGGTTCATAGCCTGGTCGTCCAAAAGTCTCATTAATTCTCTTGCAGCTTTCCTGTATTTCAGCCTGTATTTCCTCAAGATCTTTCCCTCTGCCCCTAGCAGGATTTGCAATCTGTACCAAAACTGCTCTTCCCTGCCACTTGGGATGTTGTTTCAGCATATGTTCCATTGCAAGCAACTTCAAATTGACACCTTTAAAGATGTCCATGTCATCAACTCCAAGCAACACAGTCTTCCCTTCAAACTGTTGCTTAAGCTCTCCTACTCTCCACTCTTTATCTGCGAGTCTCAGAACAGACTCAATCTGCCCCATGTGAATACCAACAGGCATGATCTTTATTCCAACCGTCCTTCCATAGTACTCCAACCCAATATAGCCCCTCTTTGACTGGTATTCTAAACCTAACATTCGACTACAGCAAGAGAGAAAATGCCGTGCGTAATCAAAAGTGTGAAACCCAATGAGGTCAGAATTCAAGAGTGCCTTCAGTATCTCTTCCCTCACAGGCAAAGTTCTATATATCTCAGATGAAGGAAACGGGCTATGCAAAAAGAACCCCATTCTCAATCTATTAAACCGCCTCCTCAGGAATGTAGGCAGCACCATCAAATGATAGTCGTGGATCCACACATAGTCATCGTCTGGGTTTAAAACCTCAATCACCTTTTGAGAGAAAATCTTATTGGCCGCAACATATGCCTCCCACAGAGACCTATCAAACCTTCCTCCATGATTTGCTGAAAAAGGAAGCATGTAATGGAAAAGTGGCCACAAATGCTGCTTGCAAAACCCATGATAGAACTTCAACAAGATATCAGCAGGCAAGAATGCTGGCACACACTTAAACCTATCCAACAATAGCTGTGAAACATCATCTTGTTCGCTGGAATCAACATCAATTTTCAAAGAACCCACATATATAACCTCCATATCATCAGGTAAACCATCTTTCAATTGCAGTAACAAAGAATCCTCATCCCAACTAAAGCTCCACCCTTTATTATCAGGCCTACGCTTAGCTTTAACAGGTAGTTGATTAGCAACAATAATTATCCTGTCCTGAATAACGGACGATGGAACATCTGAGCTCACACTATTAGCCTGATCATCATCCAACTCTGAAATGACCCCAGGAACAGTCATTACCCTCGGCAGCCGTTTCTTTTCCCGGGTTAGACCCATTGCTGGAAAATTACCAGAAGCTAGATCTAAAAGATTGGTATACGATTTGGACATCATCTTTACCTCTTTCTTATATCAGACTCCGCTCAAGACTCTACCTCAAGATCTCAACTCTACAAAAGAAACCAAAGATCGGTTTTTTGTTTTTGTTTTTGTTTTTTTTTTTTTTTCACACAATAACTATAATTCCACACGAATCTCTGCAATGAGTATCAAGACAAGCAATATCATTAGATGAGCACCGATCAAGAATCACCAAACCAAATAAACCCAAAGAAAGAAACATGAATCCAAACAAACTACATAGAATCCAAAAACATAAAAATCCGTATAAGTACCAATTCAACTCACTGAAACTGCATCCAAAACAACACAGTAAGAAAACTGAACCGAAAACATACCATTTCTATCAAAGTTTTCAATGCGATTTTCCTATCACAAATTGCACAGAAAATCATGGAAAAAAATTCAGAAATTTCAAACTCACCTCAGCTTGAAAGAACGGAAATTGTCTCCCGAAAGAAAAACACTTGGATCCAAACAACCAAGAATGAATATTTCCTCAGGAGCAAGAAATCTAGGGTTTGGTTTTTGGAGTTAAGTTTTTGGTCGTCTCCTCCCCTCAAGAACCACATTCAGAATGTGCGATGCTTTCTTTCTTTAGGAAATAAAGAAAAGGAAAAAAAAAAAAATTCAATATAAAAATTGGGAATATTATAAAAAAAAGAAGAGGATAAGGTCGGCCAGCAATGCTAGCTGGCATTGTTGAGTTTTTTCTGGTCACGCGCTCGTACTCACTTCTGTTGAGGCGCAATCCGACGTGGAAGGTTTCTGACACTGACACGTGTTCAGATCGAGTTGGGAGTACGGCCCCACACGTCGTCGTTTGGGAAAAGCATCACGTGTTTTCACGTTCCACCGAAATCTTGAAGACCAAGTGGTCCGTTATTCGACACGTAAGGAATGTGATGACGTGGCGTTTGTTGGTGAAAGGGACTACGTGTAACATCCTGTCCAGTGGTGTACCTGAATATACCCCCTGTGGTCAGGCCAGGGTAGGGAAGTTCGGGTTCCTCTGTTCAGGATTTTGACACGTGGAACGGGACTCTTGAGGATAAGGTGGAATAGGTGGTGACGTGGAGAGTATATCAAGAAAATAACATATATATATAATTTTTATATATTATTAAATAAATAGATATAAATAATATAATAT